AACTTATAAAATATATATATATATATATATTCGAATATATTTCTAATTTTTATTTTTTTTGACAGCCCTAACACACATATTTACTGCTGGTCTATTTGCACGGGATTAGTATTACCTTAGCTAATTGTCCGGGACCCTTTTACAGGAGGTAAAAGTCGCGGTAATCTTTACTGACATCGTGCGGTAATGATTACTGACATGGCACATTCAGACGGGACTAAAATCTCTGGTAATTATTACTTTACCCCACGTCCCTATGTAAAACTAATCCCATCCGAATAGGGCTTTTGACATAACAATGTGTGAAAATATGACCCAGGTTAAAAAAATACCAAAGTTACCCTTTAAGTCTGATGCGAGGACAGGGGATGTGATTTCGTTTAAAACATTTACTGAAAAGTTAAAATTACAGAAGGAAATCTATGTGTCAACTAAACTGCATCTGATGTAAATCACAAAATTAAAAGGAGCAGTCATTTACATTACTGTGTTTTATACAATGTCTGGAAATGAATTTTACATATTTAAATTAACATATATTCACACACTGTGGGTCGTACAAGTGGAGAGAAAAAAGAGGAGAGGTGAGACAAATAACATTCACTTCTCTAGAGGTAAATATTCAGACTAATATTGTTCATATGATGCTAAAGTGGCTTTTACTGTCCAACTAGCACAAAATGAACAGAGATTTTACCGCCTAAAGCCCCAACCTGATTTTTTTAACAGGATAACAGTCTGAACATTTCATGTTCCCAAAACAACCTCCATAAATAGGACCAAGAGTACAATAACAATAAAGTCATGTGATGTATGTTCATGCACAAGTAGAGTAAAACGGAGGGTATGTTATTATGTTTCAGTACAATGCAGGGTGCAATATCACAACAAAAAGATAATGAAGAGAGGAGGCACAAGAAAGCTCTATAAATTCTGGTTGGCTTAACCAGCCGGCCTGTCTCCTGCTAATCATGGTCAGGAGTAGTTAACAGCATTCTGCCTCAGTGGGAATATTTACTGCCATTCAGGACTTACTGTAGCATGATGTTCATATAGGTCAAGGTGAATTAAAGGAATACAAATGATGACTTGTATATTTATTATTCTGCCCATGTTTAGGCCTTTGCATACTGACTCAGACGTGTTTTATTGTCCCAAACGTGAAAATTCACAATAAGGAACAAAATGCAAAGGCACATTTGTCCCCTTGCTTCTCTCCACTGGAGTTGTCTTCCTGCCTGTCACCACTCTCTGCTGGTGTCTTGCATCTGGCAGAGCAGCTGAAGGGGCTGAGCTGTCTCCACACTGTAACTGTCTCTCTGTCCACATCCTGTTCCTCGTTATCATCATCCAACTGAATACTAGTATCTGACCTGTTAACAGTAGGCTATGTGAGTTAAGAAAGGATGTCTTGACTGTTATCAAATCCGTTTCTCTCTCTCTTGTTGTGGATGCTGCCAAAAAATCGAACCTGCTTCAAAAACTTCAACGAGTTTCGGAGTCAGTATCTAAACATAAAGGCCTTAAACCCTTTGAAACCTGAATCGACATTAGTTTTCATGTGCTGTGTTCAGATGCTTTTCACAAGCTATTTAAACACCCAAATTGTAAAGAAATCTGCAATCAAATCAATCAATATGAAAACATGTGTTTACACACACTCACACAACTCGTGCATTATAATCCAAGTCTCAGTTATCCAGTCGCACACTCAGTACTTCTCAAAGAGACAGCTCTCTCTGGAGGGAAACTAAACTGAAAGTTATCTGTGCTCTCTTTAAACTGAGTCCACTGACAAAAACAGAAGTGTACCTCCCCTCAGGGAGATGGATAAGGGTTCTGTATATCACTTAATTTAGTACAATACTATTGTACAATCAACTGTGCTGACTCTTCAAGACAGAGATGTGCCCATAAATTTAATATTAAGAACAAAGGATAGAATAGATTGTAAAACCCTTTGAGGCACTTTTGTAATTTGTGCTTTTGTGCCGTAAATGACTTAACTAGTTGCCCAGGGCAGATATTGTAGGAGTCAAACTTCATAAAATGTTGACCTTAAACATTTTGCTAAAATATTCAGTGTGAATCTACTGCCAGATATGCTGATGTCCAATGTCCATTCACTGTATTGTGCCGAAGTAGTGCTTTTATTTTGAAAGGGACTGTATGCAAACTGTACATTTCCTGTAAAAAGCTGCAGTGTATTTTGAAAGCAGAAAATGCATGGAACAGGCTGAACTTGACACGGCGTCCCAGAACGTCAACAACCAACGCATCCAGGGTACTTTGCATGTTATATCTTGACATGGTAAGCCCATGACCAAACGTCAATATGCGACGAGGTCGGAGTGAGAATTTGTTGTTCCCGGCTGGAACAACAACATGGCAGTGTGCATGATATAAACGGCTCATTCTAAGGTAAGGAAAACACAATTTTATCTTCTTTTATCTTTTATACACTAAAAACATTATATTCCATTTTGTCAATAATCCCCCTAAATCCTTCACACTGGACCTTTCCAGTTTTCCAGTTCCCCCTTAAACTCTTTTGCCACTGCAGAGCCTTGCAGGTGTCATAGGGAGAAAAAATGTGTGCATGAATAAACAGAACATGGTGTTAAACAGTACTGCTAACAATTCATGTGATAATATAAAATATTAAAATGACAGAATAAACTCTTGTAAGCACTTCAGTACCAAAACACAGCTGCTCCAGGTGTATTTCCCTGACAAACTTAATGACCCAACAATCTATAACCTCAATTCCTGTTGTTACATTAATCTGACATGAAGTTACTTATTTATGTCCCTGAGAGATATTTCCAACCAGCTTTGCTTCATAATAATGTGGGTAGTATGTGTAAATGAACTGTATTAAAATTCCCTCCAGCTTGTCAGTGCCCAAATTTCCCTGCTCATTTGCCAGCAAACATTTTCGCTGGCTCTGAGGCTGTTGTTCAAACTACAGACTGCACTTCTTCATTTTTGTTTGCTTGCCACCACGAACGGAAAGACAGCATGAAACACAAACACAAGGCCCCCCTGCAGCTAACTCCGAGTGGCTCCCTTTCCTGCAGCACAGAGCAGGTGAATTTTAAACATCCTTCATAGTGAGGATGCTTATCATTTCAAATGCACAACAACCTTTAACAAACCACTTTAGAACACTGGACAGAGTGTACTGTACTGGGTAACTGTTTCAGCTGCTGGAGGCACACCAGGCTCCCCCTCACCTGACACCCAAGCTGTCGGGTGTCGGGGTCCTGGGCTTTATCTCACCTGGTGGTGAAGCTGTGCGTGTTCGCCTTCAGAAACATATTTAACTTACTGTTTAACCGTAACATGAGATCATTTGTTACCAGCTATCTGACATATTGTTTTTAAGAGGAGCAACTCCAGCCCGCCCTCTCTCTGAAGTTGTCAAATACCACCGTTTTGTCAGTGATTCCGCTATGAGACACCCAATGCCAAAAACCACTTTTCAGTGGTATGATACGTCGCCGGGCGGTGTAACTATGTAACACAGCTGGACAAAACCTTTTGCGGTGTTATGATATGCCGCAGGTTGGCTGGACGGCACCTGTCGCAGCAGTATGGTATGCGGATGGGCAGCATCAGTTCATAACGTTGCTGGACGGCACCTGTTGCATTGGTATGA